AACAAAAATCCGAGAAAGCTGAAAATTCCAACACCAATTCGGTTTGAGTCACTAATCCTAGCTGTAAGCTCTGCATTCTTTACTAAATCATCATTTTGAAGTCATTCTATGCACACCAAAATTGCTGTTTTCTTGATGTTCTCAAGAACTTGATTGCTACATTTTAACACTTTTGTCGAATCTCGCAGACCTGCTTCTCAGATCAAGGTGCTTTTAATCGCCAGCTCAAGAGCCTTTGACTTCTCTTTGTGATCAGTCATAGAAAGCAAGACTTGCTCTGTCCCACACTAAATTTTGGGCAGTCTGAAACGCTTGCTTCAGAAGGTGTGAGACATTCTTGACGTCAACTATCTGTCTGCCACGATGCATGCGTTCCGCAAGAATGTGAAGGCTGGTGTGAAGGCCAAATAAGGGTTTTTTAAAAACTGAGTGTACTCTGTTATTTTGTAGGTTCCCACAAGATTCCTGCTAAATTTCATGTAACAGTGTTGCTTCGTACAATTGCAGCTGAGGAAATACTAGGCTTAAAGACTTTTGGGACACCCTGTATTGCTGGGCTTCTGGCACCATTTTGTTCTCCATTCTCTTTCCGCTAAATACACAAACACATTCAGAAATGGTAGCCAGCTGCCCTTGGGCTTTTCTCTAGTGGACTTTATAAGTGGAGGCTGCTGGTTGAGAAGTTTAAAACAGGTGTCCAACTCTGCCTAAGTGGAGCACACCATGTAGGTGTGCTCCACTTAGGCAGAGTTGGACACCTGTTTTGTGTGTTCCACCATTCATCGATATATTGGAAGTGAAGAAGAGTTGATGCTGTAAGATCAGACTCTCAACTTTAGACATGAAAGCAATGGCTAATGTAGGGGCCAGCCTCTTCCCTATAGCTTAACCTCATTTTTGTCTATAACACTGTTCTGCCCAGCGGAACATGCCCATAGCTGAAAATGTCTATTATATTGTTCTGCCCAAAGGAAAAAAACTACAGTTTAGAACTCGTGAAGATTCGTCATTGCTCAGTTTTTGCGGTGTCTGCCTAAACCCTGCTTTCCCGGCGTTACTGTTTTTCAAACTTTTGTCTAGACGTGAGCGGTACAAAATTTCATTGTTTGAGTGGCAGGCATCGCGTTATGGCTATGTTCGATCACACGGAATAACTACAAATGCTCAATGCTCAATGCTTATACTTAATGCTCACGGAAACTCAGATTTTTCTGTTAGAACAGAGATCATGTAACTCCTGCAAACCTAGTCTTTGTGTGGGTGCAAGATTGCTAGTGGAGTGTTTATGGGACAAGCGTTTCACTGTAAAACGAACTAGCAAATTGCCTGAACTTGCAATCTACGGAAGGGACAGGCTTTGCGGCTTGAATTATAAAGTAGGGAAGACGGCACTGGCAACCTATCTTTTGCGTTTGGTTAACTGTTGCTGTTCCTCGCACCTTGCTCTACCGCGTAACGTACAGCCGTTACTGGAAACTTCTAACATCGCGCTTTCTGTTTCAGACCTGTTCCGTAGTTTTTCACTGGTGCAGTCAATAAGCCCCGTGGTTTACCCAAAATCGTGGGAAACCTTCAACACGTTCACGACCGCTTCTGCTGTAGAGCAAGGTGCGAGGAACAACAGTTACGACCAAACGCAAGCGATAGGACTTTTCCAGTGCCGCTATTCCCTAATTTATTATTTAAGCCGCAGGAGCCTGTACCTTCCGTGGATTGCAAGTTCAGGCAATCTGCTAGTTCGGTTTACAGTGATTTACAACGCTTGTCCCATGAACACTCCACTAGCAATCTTGCACCCTCACAAAGACTAGGTTTGCAGGAGTTACATGATCTCTGCTCTAGCAGAAAAATCTGAGTTTCCGTGAACATTAAGCATTAAGCATTAAGCATCAAACATTTGTAGTGGAACCAGATGGAGATCGAAAAAATCCGAAAAATCCCGACAACTTCAAATTTTGGACCCAAAAGATTGACCTGCCGGCAACCTCGTGAGGTATTTTGTCGAGATTTCTGTCGCGATCTCGCTCAACCTGCCGGCATCTCGCCCTCATGCCAGAAAAAAAAGAGAAATAGTGTGTTTATTGAGGAGTGCAACCTGCCGGCATCTCGTCGTGCTCCTACCACGTCGAGATGCCGGCAGGTTCATGACGACATTCATCTCGTTATCTGGCGGATTTTTGGTCGATTTCTTTATTTTCTATGTTTCCCTTTGCTACTGAGGCATACTTGTCACCCAAAACAGTCACAAATGTTCAAAAATCGCTGGCATGATGAGTTTTTCTAGTTTGTTGTAAGAACAATGAATTTTCAGTTCATCTGAGCTTTTGCTGATTTCAAAATTCACTGTCGGTGTATGTCTATTTAATGTTTGTTACTATTCTTAATTGAACAGCCACACGGTTGTCGATAAGTATTCTTCATTGCCTGAGCAAGCTCTTTCTTGATCTTATCTTTGGGAATTCCGATAGCACAACTATCGCATGCTTGACCAATTTCGATTTTCGATTGTTTTCCTAGTTCAGCTTTGTTTCTACACTTCCCGTTATGCTGACGGTGCATATCTGCTAAGGAGCTTTCAACCAGCCGAAAGTTCGGATCGCTCTGGTTCTCTGTTGGAGACTTTATAGCTCAGGCTGTAATTTATCGTGAGGTGGTGATTGTTTTAACTGGTGCTCATTCATTGAATGTCCTACTCTCTCATAAAGCCTATTCTTTCTCAATGTCAAAATAATGTGTTTCGTTAGAAAAGGATTATGTTTCTCTCAAAGTTTTTTCATTTCACTTCAAAGGTGTGACAGAAAAAGTTCTATATACAGTTAACGAAATAGAAAATTGCGCTTGAAATAACGTTCGGAGATATTCCTCAACTAACACCTCTTGATATGGAAGTTTTTTCGAAGATGTGAGGATGTTTTTTAGATCAAGATTTTTTCACAAATCAATGTTGATTTATACTTAAGCGCATAAACTCAATGATACAGACTCCTTTACTCGTTGTATGTGATAGACTGTATGCGTTTGTCCTTCAAAAAATACGAATGAAAATTTGCGATACACGAAATCTATGATTGTAGTAAATATTCTTTAATTTCAATCCTAGCGTTACAGCCTGTGCCAACGCTTTTATGCGTATGATTAAGCGCAACGGATGGCCTTGCGTGCGCATTCCCATCAGTAGCGCAAGCTAAATGCCCAAGCATATGCTTAAGAATGTGGTGGCTTTGGCGCGAGCACTACTGATCGAAAAGTGAGTGCACGATTGGCATAGGCTGTCACGTGACTCAGTCTCAGGGAATAACAATAGCAAACAATAACTTATGCAAAAATGGGTGATGCCCATAGTCAATACTGTGCTTTTGAGGGTTCAATTTAATGGTTATCAAGTAGAGTCCAATCAATTTTTTGGGGAGATCATTTCGAATGAGGTAAGATAATTGCTTTTGCTTCCTTTGGAGTTCTCAAAGTAACATTCTGCGTAAGGTAGTCTTTTTGGATTTTCGTCTTTTGCGAGACATTTTTTTCCTTTTACGAAAAGTTCATGCAATTATGCTTTTGCGAGGGCTTTTACACGCTTCTATAAATGTTGATTCGTTGACCGCATCGACTAGACATCGCTGCGGAGAACGCGCCGCGAGATTCGAGACTGTTTTTCTCAATGCAAATACTATAGACAAACGACGACAAACATTTCGCACTATACTGTAGGGAGCGGCCTCCCAATACTGAAGATCTCCCCGCATGGGCCTAAAGTTAGCTCATTCACGCATCTCAGATTTTCAAGCTACTAGTAATGCTTCTTCAGGATTTCGTTGATTGGCATGGAAGGTTTGCGATATAATAATCAATCTGGCCAAGAAAGAGATTGCTTATAACTGCTTCGAATTCCTATCAAGTGAGGATGGTCTAAACTCCTACGTTTACTGTAGCTGTTTCTGTTACAATTCGAAATTTCTTGTTTTATTTTCTTTGGCTCCTTTTCAACTTCGTATTTACGTGTTCACCCTGGTATATGGGGACAGTGAGTTGTCACGAGTCGTTGTCCCATCACTGGTCGCATACCGCGAATGCGCCGACCAGACGCTTGTACCAGTACAAAATCAAACAAGTTGTGCTTTCGTAGCTATTCAGCCTCTCCTCGCGTATTCCGAAAGCTGCGGTCAGTTCGTCGAACGCCCATAACCGGCCGCGGAACTGGTGGGGAAACTGAGCCGCGCCCCAGTGCCAATCGATTGGAGCACGTTATCCTTCGCGCACTTAGAGTATCTGGACACATAGCAGTTCTGCATAGTAACTCTCCTCATTGTCTGTACTGTTTTGCGGCAACGATACAGCACAAGGAAGTTGATGATCAACTAATCTCGGGATGTGCACATTGTAGTGCGACTTCAACTTCCACTGAAAACGAGTTATGACTCGCAGTCTGGGCACTTTTTGCAAAGCTTCAGCACATTCACTAGTCCAAGAGGCTGTCCCGTCAGCATTCCTAACACAATGTGACTTGATACATAGAGTCATGTATCTGTCCTTTCTCCCACCTCTTATCATTGGTTCTTAAAAGCAATGTCCGAGCTTTTGTGCTCACTTGGGCCTATTCGCCACACCGAATCCGAAAATAAGCAGTAGAATGCTTAGGTGACAGGCGTGACACATATTTTAGCACAATTCTGGTTTGTAACGGTACTCATATCACAACAGTGAAGCTTATGGTACGCTTTACAGTACTTTGGCAAAATGTGATGATGAGGATGTGGCCACTACGTCGACGCACATGTGAATATGTATGTCAACGCGTATTTAAAAATGGAAAAGTTTAATGAGTACAGAATGAGATCTTCATGTTTACTGCGCACCGGGTATGAAACGAACACAGATATCAAAAATATAGAGACCCGACGAAATGAAATGAAATGAACTAGAAATGAAGTTTTTTGAACAGATACTGAACAAATCAACCACTTTGAGAATATCCTAAAATGTGAGTACGTGCAAAAAAATAAGGTTCATTCAAAGTCTTCGTCTGTGTAGTTGTAAGGATAATGTTTCTTTTTCTTCTCCAGTCTTAATTGCGCCCTCTAAAAAAGACAATGTGGCTATAAATGGTCATCTGTTTCAAAACTTACACTTTTATACTGCGGTTGTATACGAGACGGCGCGGTACCAGCCCCGGTGGTCTGCATCACTGCCCTACTCACGAAACGGTTTTCAAGCGCTTCTTGGGGCATTTCTCCCAGCCCGTTCTTCATGAATTCGTTCATCTGATTTATCAAATCAAGACGGTTTGATTTTGCGTACGCCTTTGCCAACTCTCCAAATTGATTTTTTAGCTGTAAAACACTATTTATATAAAAGAAAGCAGAAGAAAGCCTCAACTGACAAATTTTAACTGTTCCTTACCCCTTCGGCTTCTTGCAGCGCTTCTTTAATTTTATCGCATTCTTTTACTGCCGGTGCCGGGTAGAAGACGTTTGAATGAATTTCGGTCGCCACAGCATTGTTGTTCTCAATGTTGTTGCTATTCTCTCTCAGCGGCTCTTTCACAGCTGGTAAGGCGGATAAGTGCTGTCTTAGACGCTGTGAGCGAGCTGAAACCAAATTCGTTCTGATACATTGCGCTCCGGTTTTGAAGACCCACCTCTAAAGGTTTTCACAGCATGGACATCAACGCAGGACACGCCTGCTTGCGACGCGTCGTAACAGTTGCAGTGGACCGTGTAAGAACACACGCCGCACCGCTCACAATGCGAATTCATCTAAACCGGTCTTTTTTGTATAAGGAAAGTTACAACATAAAGTTGACTTACGCCATCGTCGCGGCTGCAATCAGAATAGTCTATGGTTGCTTGACATATGCTTTCTCTTCGAGGGCCGCGTACGGTCCAGCAGTATTCATATTTTTGCTCAATGGTATCTTGAACCAGTAATTTCACGACTACAATAAGTGGCGCAGTCTTACCGTTGCATGTGTGTAATAGCTTATTGCGTCCTTGTGTCGACGATTTCTTTTCCGTCTTCGTGAGAGATCAGAGCCTCCCCTGACGCCCTAAAAAATTCGTAGAGTCAATCACGCCAATAAAATTCGCCAAAACGTAGTGGAACTCACGGCAGATATTAGCTAAAGATTGTGATCTTGAGAATATTCGATAAGGGTATACACGAAGACATCCAGCCTATTGTTTTGCTTGCTTCGGAGCAAGATATGTTTCAGTTTGTTATGCCAGAATTCGGCATGGTTAGTAGTCTTAAACGATGCATTAGGACGATGACACACCGCCCATTCGTGTCGTCTTTGAGAGTATTTCTTTCGATATACTAAAAGAAGTCTGTTGACAGGTATAGATACTATCGCTGAAGAAATTTACGGTAGCCATTTTTACAGCCTCTATGGACGTAAGCCACGAGATATAAGCGTGGAAGTTTTCCTCAAATTTCGAGGATTTACCTCCCCGAAAAGAGCATTGAACATATGTTGGGCGATAGGGACATCAGGAGACTATGAGGAAAAGCGACTGAGTAAAATGGCATTCTTACACGAACTAGAGGACTTACTGATAGCAATTCTTTATGTTTTTGTAAAAATGCTTGACTAACGTGGAATACACATAGGACTTTCTGTGCTCGGCTCTCGGGAAACATTGACTTGAAGGCGTTGTAAAATGGAGAGGTCAGGTCATCGGTATTAAAGAAAACGCTGTCAAAGTGGGGGATGCAAATCTGAACAATTGTAGTGGGATTCGTATACCTTGCCAACAGTTACCTTTATTAATTTGAAGAGTTCTTCAATTTCTTCACAACTCATCCGAAACAAAATCAAATGTCCGCATGGGAAACCGTTCCCGGCATTGTCACATACTAAGACTGTAGCCATACGAAAAGAGTATTTGGTGATGTTATATGTGTCGTCAATCACTAGGCCATTTTTGCCGTACTTTTCCAAATATGCTTTGCCTTTTTAGTGACAAATGCTGCAAAACAGAGGTATTCAAAGTCACGCTAAGGTCCTGACTTGTTTACTGCTCACCTAGGAGAAATCTTTCCCGCTGAGGTTGTTTGTTTCAATGATTTTCGAAGCTGCAATATCATCATTGTTTTCCACAAGGGTTTTGACCAAAGTTCTGTCGTCGCAGGTGTATTTTCCTCTTCTTATATATAAAGCTGAATGTCTGTTTGTATGTATGTATGTATGTATGTATGTATGTCTGTATGTCTGTCTGTGTGTACGTATGTTCCGAATAGAAAATTCCATTTCTGAACCGATCCGGACCAAACTTGGCACACATACACTTCGGGCCCCGGCGCGTGTCATAGGCTACTTTTCGTCATCGATCGATATCGATTTTATCGATTTTTATCGATTTTTTTGCTGAGTTCACCTACGGGGCTGGGAGTTGGCACAGGGGGGTAACCGAGCATGGGGATTCCGAATACAATATTGGTTTTCAGGATTATCGATTACTTTTATCGATTTTATCGATTTTTTTGCAAAGTTTGAGCTACGGGGCTGGGAGTTGGCACAGGGGGGGGGGTAATCGAGCATGGGGATTCCGAATACAATATTGGTTTTCAGGATTATCGATTACTTTTATCGATTTTATCGATTTTTTTGCAAAGTTTGAGCTACGGGGCTGGGAGTTCGCACAGGGGGGTAATCGAGCATGGGGATTCCGAATACAATATTGGTTTTCGGTATTATCGATTACTTTTATCGATTTTATCGATTTTTTTGCAAAGTTTGAGCTAGGGGGCTGGGAGTTGGCACAGGGGGGTAATCGAGCATGCTGATCATCCCCAAGGGGGGTGATCAGCATGCTCGATTACACCCCTGTGCCAAATTCCAGCCCCCTAGCTCAAATTTTCAAAAAATCGATAAAATCGATAAAAGTAATGGACGATCTTGAAAACTAATATTGTATTCGTAATCTGCATGCTCGATTACCCCTGTGCAAACTCCCAGCCCCGCAGGTCAAACTTTACAAAAAAATCGATAAAATGGATAAAAGTAATGGACGATCCTGAAAACTAATATTGTGTTCGTAATCAGCATGCTCGATTACCCCCCTGTGCAAAATCCCAGCCTCGCATGTCAAAATTTACAAAAAATCGATAAAATCAATGAAAGTAATCGATAATTCTGAAAACTAATATTGTATTCGGAATCCCCATGCTCACTTCCCCCCTGTGCCAACTCCTAGCCCTGTAGGTGAACTCTGCGAAAAAATCGATAAAAATCGGTAAAATCGACATCGATCGATAACGAAAAGTGGACTGTGACACGCGCCGGGGCCCGAAGTGTATGTGTGCCAAGTTTGGCCCGGATACGGCGGAGCCGGGTAAGCCAGCTAGTATTAAATAATGGCGTTCGGCAATGTTACTAAAAACAATGGAACAGCTAGAGAACTAACGGCGATACATTTTTATAAACTGACCTAATGTCTGTAGTTGTCAAATAACACAATCGCATACATTTTTATAAACTGACCTAATGTCTGTAGTTGTCAAATAACACAATCGCATTTGCCTTTAGGGGTCCTGCCGTGGATTTCAGTTCTCTCTAGGCAATTTCGACACTATCTTAACAAATAAGTAACATGTAAATCCAATTCAAAGCCCAGATTTTCTTACTGTTCGCGCCGACACTCCTGCCTCGATCAGATTTTTGACCACATCTTCATCCTCATTTGATAAGGGCAGAGCTGCCATGCTTATTGCGTGGCCATAGTGTCCAAAGCACGCAGTGACATGCACCATGTCAAGCCCGTTCAAATGCCTTTCCCTCGTGTTGATGACAGAGGTAAATATATGTATTTCCGGAAATGCTCTTTCGTACGTAGCATCTGACGACTTTGGAAATGTCTCGTTCTCTTTCATCTTTAGCCATTCCTAGTAAACTGGCATACTTGCAACCTCACTTTACGAATGACTATGTATCGCTCACCTCAAATAAACCAAACAATTCGAAAGTGTTCGACACCACAACGAGGTTAGGATCTTCACTTTTATGATGTGCTTTACCATGCCGAGCACATCCTGGGCAGTTGATCATAGTTCTTTCATGAGTCATCTCTGCGGGGTTTTCGTGCACGAACTGGAACGGTCGTGAATAATACGTAGACATACTCAGTATGTAAAGCTCATGCTTTTAGCTAGGCACCAGAGACGCATGCAAGCATACGAGTTCAGGCAGCCACTCAAGTTATGATAACGCAAAACTTTATCTTACCTTTTTATGCATCCTTAGACCTCTACTGGAAAAGTATGACTTTTCACATATGTCGCAGAGTATTTCGTCTCCATAAACGGCTCGCTTGACAGCAAGTTTCACCTGTTCTATTTTTTCTTCATTGGAGCTGTGTACATGACGACGATATTTATATAGATCATTCAAAACCATTGGTTCTTTCTTGCAGATATGGCAAGGCGCTTTCGTTCTCATTTCTAAATTATTCGTGAATGCACTGACAGCTAGAAAAATAAGCATTCAAAACTCAAAATGACGGGTCAGAAGCAAAAAAAAACTGGTAAAAAAACCTATCTGAAAACATGATGTAAGCCTCGTAACAGCGACGCGAATCTACAACGCTACAGTATAACTGTCCCTTCTGAGGAGGCAACGTAAAGCGATGCCATACGAGGCTGCGACGAACGCAGCAATTATGCCTCTATGATATCTGAAGAGTGAACAAGACTAGGCATAACATTCATCAGTACAGTCGAAGCTTTTGACTATATAAAATGATCACAACAAGTTGAAGTCGCACTACAATGTGCGCATTCCGAGATTAGTTAGTCATCAACTTCCTTGTGCTGTATCGTTGCCGCAAAACAGTACAGACAATGAGGAGAGTTACTATGCAGAACTGCTATGTGTCCAGATACTCTAAGTGCGCGAAGGATAACGTGCTCTAATCGATTGGCAATGGGGCGCGGCTCAGTTTCCCCACCAGTTCCGCGGCCGATTATGGGCGTTCGACGAACTGGCCGCAGCTTTCGGAATACGCGAGGAGAGACTGAATAGCCACGAAAGCACAACTTGTATGATTTTGTACTGGTACAAGCGTCTGGCCGGCGCATTCGCGGTATGCGACCAGTGATGTGGACAACGACTCGTGACAACTCACTGTCCTCATATACCAGGGTGAACACGTAAATACGAAGTTGAAAAGAAGCCAAAGAAAATAAAACAAGAAATTTCGAATTGTAACAGAAACAGCTACAGTAAACGTAGGAGTTTAGACCATCCTCACTTGATAGGAATTCGAAGCAGTTATAAGCAATCTCTTTCTTGGCCAGATTGATTATTATATCGCAAACCTTCCATGCCAATCAACGAAATCCTGAAGAAGCATTACTAGTAGCTTGAAAATCTGAGATGCGTGAATGAGCTAACTTTAGGCCCATGCGGGGAGATCTTCAGTATTGGGAGGCCGCTCCCTACAGTATAGTGCGAAATGTTTGTCGTCGTTTGTCTATAGTATTTGCATTGAGAAAAACAGTCTCGAATCTCGCGGCGCGTTCTCCGCAGCGATGTCTAGTCGATGCGGTCAACGAATCAACATTTATAGAAGCGTGTAAAAGCCCTCGCAAAAGTATAATTGCATGAACTTTTCGTAGAAGGAAAAAAAAATGTCTTGCAAAAGACGAAAATCCAAAAAGACTACCTTACGCAGGATGTTACTTTGAGAACTCCAAAGGAAGCAAAAACAATTGTCTTACCTCATTCGAAATGATCTCCCCAAAAAACTGATTGGACTCTACTTGATAACCATTAAATTGAACCCTCAAAAGCACAGTATTGACTATGGACATCACCCATAAACGCCAGTAGTTTGGCAAGCTGAAAAATAGGTCCCAGTCAAAACAAAACATTCGTTCCTAGTGATTCAGAAAATTAGATAATTTTGCATAAGTTATTGTTTGCTATTGTCATTCCCTGAGACTGAGTCACGTGACAGCCTGTGCCAATCGTGCACTCACTTTTCGATCAGTAGTGCTCGCGCCAAAGCCACCACATTCTTAAGCATATGCTTGAGCATTTAGCTTGAGCTACTGATAGGAATGCGCACGCAAGGCCATCCGTTGCGCTTAATCATACGCATAAAAGCGTTGACACAGGCTGTAACGCTAGGATTGAAATTAAAGAGTATTTACTGCAATCATAGATTTCGTGTATCGCATACAGTGCTGGACATAATTATAGGGACACTCTAGAAATCGTCGTAATTTTCGTTCTTGTCAGTGAATCTGTCTGAAACTTTGCTGTATGGTGCGCATGTAAGCCTACCATAACTCCTCAGAACGGCTTCCAATTTCGTTGATTCCGAACGGAGAAAAATGGAAAAATTCGAAAAAGCCTGTTTTGCAAGCTGGACATAATTATAAGGACACCTGGCCTTTTTAAACATTATCGCATTCCCTGACTCCCAAATTTTTTTTGTAGAGTTACATCCCAGAATATGAAACTTTTGCAGCACCTAGGACCTGTCATGCTACTCAAGGAAAGATGATCCTTGCATTTTTCGTTTCCAAAGGCATCAGAAGTCAAACTGCGTCAACAAACAACCGGTTTGAGGAGTTTTCAAGCCCGCGTTCATTTTAAATGACAGTCCTGGAATACACTTAGCCTTTTTAATAGATAAGGTGAAGAGCGCTTTCGTAAACTCCGCGTAATCGCTGATTTTGACGGACAGACTCCAACCTCAACATAGGGTTGTCGCGCTTTTAAACCACAAAACTCGATGCTCAAGTTACAGAAAACGCTGCAATGTAGCCGCAGCAATACACGTACAGCAATAAACTTGTGTGCCTAGTCAGGAAATAATTTCGGGCTCCTGCGGCTTAAATAATAAACTAGGGAACAGCGGCACTGGAAAAGTCCTATCGCTTGCGTTTGGTCGTAAGTTGCTGTTCCTCGCACCTTGCTCTACAGCGTAAGCGGTCGTGAACGTATTGAAGGTTTCCCACGACTTTGCGTACAACCACAGAGCTTATTGACTGCACCGGTGAACCAATTATGGGTAATCCAGTTCGTCCGGTCGACCACTCGACGAAATCGCGCTGTCTCGCATCGTACTATTTTTTCTCTATTGGAATGTGCCAAAATTGGTGCTAACCATCTTCTTCGTCGGGGCGACATGTTTCACCAAGGTAAGTTGTACCCCTTCATGTAACCTTTTATTTTATTCTTCTATGAAACTTTGAGTCATTCCAGTGTCCGAGAATGCTCTAACATTTTGAAGCTTCAGCATCAAAATATGCTCATAGCATGCTCGATAACTGAAGCAATTAGAAGATTTGAAGACTTTCGCTTACAGTTGTAATTATAGACGTCGCTTTTGTTGTTTATCATCTTTGATGTAATTACAAAGTATGATCTCGAATTTGATCACTGTCAATCGGTTTTGCTGAATATATGCCGTTGACAGCGGTTCTTCTACGAGCTGCACCTTTTGTTCTTTCTCTATTGTAAACATTGTTGCTTCAGCATTGTTTGCCTTAGCCAGATTCCCATAGATACCATCCTCGCAAGCTCACCTCGCTGCACGCCACTTATGACACGTTATTCTCGGACATCAATCTGGATTTGTGAGCAATGGATTCTTGAGAAAAAAAATTGTCAGAAAGAGCGGACGGCAGCAAGATAAGCTTGCGATACCGATAGGAACTTATAGGAACTTTGCTAAGGCACGATATGTTTTTATGCTTTCTATGATTTGATAACATTGCCAAGTTTGTAGTCGTACTTGTTTGCTTACCGGAGAGTATGCGCTCTACTGAGGTAGGGAGGGGGGAGGAAGTTTACAGGGGACATGTAGTCGACAGGTTCCACTAGCACGGATAGCTGGCATAAGGCCATAATGTATAGAGATGTGTGATTCGTTGCGGATGCTTGCGTGGTTCCTCTCTTTTGGGGATATACCTCCTCTACTTACCCCCATTTTTCGCGTACAGGTGTTATCGGTCATATCCCGGAACTTTGAAGAGAAATCTGCTCGTGATTGATCTGCTTACAATATATCCTATACTTTGGAACCCCCAAATACATTGCATTTATTGACAACGAAGCGGACCTTCGCAAACTCGCCGACACTAGGCGAACATTGGTGTCAGAAAGGAGGGGGGGGGGGGCTTGACATCTCGTATGGGAGCGAGTGGCATCGCCGCGCCATCCAAAAAGTTCTCTGAGATGCTTTTGAAAGTTTTCTAACCATACAACCGGAAATCACGAAGCTGTTAATTTTTTTGATATTTTAACGAATGTTGTAATTGCCGTTATTGCAACCAGATGTGCGATAGGTGGAGCCGGGCCCCCCAAAAGTGAAGGTGGTTCCACTGACCGGCCAAAAGTGAAGGTGGTAGTGCCGGACACTCACCTCCCAAAAACGTCGACTGAGCCTATCCTTCCAGGTCGTTGCCGCCAGTGCGCGGAATATAAGCAAAACAAACGCAAAAAAGATCATTGAAGGCATATTTTTAGGTACACGGCGGCATAATTGTTTAAAATAAACGTGTTTAGTAAATGGTGTATTTGGAAGTAAAAGATAGCGGGACTGTACGGATTTTATTAAGTAAATTTTTTCATAACGTACTACAAACAAAGTAGGTCGATCCAGGGAATAACCGCCGAGAACCAAAATTTTGAATAATAAAATAACGATAAATTATGCGAAATTTCCATTTTCATAAATCTTGCGGTTGAAGATGTCAGCAATTGCGACTTCATAGGTTTTGAAGGGCAAATGTTGTTCTACCAGACAGTGAAAGAATTAGGTCGATCTGAGCAGTGGCCGCCGAGAACGAGAATTTTAAAAAATTAAGCGATTTTAGGTTACTTAGTGACAGCTGACGTTTAGACTCCTATGAATCTGGAATGTGAAGGAGTGCAATGTTGCGACTTCAAAGGTTTTGTAGAGTAAGGATTGCTGTATCGGATCATTTCTTAGCCGTAACGATCCAATAAGATACCGCCGAGATTCAGGCTCTTGAAAAAAACAAGTGAAAAACCGCTTTTTGAAATTCAACAGCGCATAACTTCTCCAGAATTGCATGAATCATGTTGCGACT